CTCACACACACACACACACACACACACACACACACACACACTTTTTTTAAACATAAGATACAATTCCTCTGAGATTCTATTAATCATTTTTCCTCTCTAATTGAAAAAGTCACCACATACATGAGAGTACGAATTTCATTCTTCTAAAAAGAACCTTAAAAGTTGACATTTCTTTGAACAATTGTTTCAGAAATCCTTTTTTAAGTACATTTTCATTTTCTGGCATGCCTTGAATTGAATTCTAAACTTTCTGCTGCTTGTCCTCTAAGCCCCTCTGGTGAATTTAAATAGGCTTCCCTATATATTTAGTACATTCAAGAATTCTTTGTTGCAGGGCCTACTCTGCTTTATTATTAGAGGGCTGTCTCGGAAGTCCAGCAGCCAGTTTGTTTTCTGCCATTAATAAAAAAGTCTACTTTTTTTTCCACTTCTTTGAAGAAGTTGAAAAGGCTCCATGTTGGGTACAGGGGGGCCAGGAAGAGAGGGAGAAATGGAGGGAACCAACTGTGGTGTAATCCTCCAACAAAAAATACTGTCTAATATGGAGAACTCCCCCAGGTTTACAAATGCCAAGGCTGGGCTTTGAGTGTGATGTATAACAGAGTAATAACTTGGACCCAGACTGATCCTCCCTAAGATTATGAAGAAATCTGTGAGAAAGACATTGCATTTTAAAATGCTTCAAAGTCAAACACCTCAGTTGGCTAGTGTTTCTTACTGAAGATGTTCAGAAGCTGGGAAAACAATCACAATATAAATCTATAATTTGTTACACTTCATTTATATGTCTACAAAAATACATAGAAGGACTTCGAGGAAGACCTACTAATTTGGATATATGAAATATTTATGTTGACTCATGGCCTGAGGAAAGCTCTTTCGAAGTCTAGGAAAGATGATGCCAAGTTACTTGATGCTCACAAAATATCAGACACCTGCCCACAGAGAGGGAGAAACTTCTTTGAAAAGAGGAATGGTTAAATCTTCTCACATAAAAGAACCCAGAACACCCCATAACCTTATAGGACCCAGACAAAACCCAGAATTTATTGTGCATACTTACTTGACGCAAAATATGTAGTCCATGATTACTGTTACACATATTTTGATTGTTAAAGAATTAATTATGAAGGTAACAAACTTAAAATCACATTACTTATATCAACAATAAAAAATTAATTTACTCTAACAGATTTTTTTCACTTTTAAATTATCCATAAAATATGCATGGAATTACCTTATATAAAAAAATGAAACAATTTAATCTTAAATTAATTAATCTCATTTACCCTCAAGTTACCTGATTTCAAACTCCCACAAGTAAAATATTATATACAAGTTAATACTAGCTGGTAATGCACTTCATCTGATAAAGCTACACTGAGCATAAAGAGAGGTAGGGAAAAGTAACAATCAATGAAATTGAAGCTAACTTAATGAAAAAATCACGTGGATGATTTTATCAAGATGCCTCAATTTTTACACTGTTTCTAATAAAACTACTTAAGAAATGAAGATATATGTATGTGTGTATGTGTATATGTATATATGAATAAACCCTTGTGCACCTGGTCACTGATAAATAAGAATACTAACTGTGAAGATGACACACAGATAATAATAGCAACTAAGTTTCTGAAAACTAAAAATATCTTTGCAAAGCTACACAAAAAACACTATTTTTCAAATGTTTACAAATGCCCAGGATTTTTTTTTTAATTTCTCTAAATTAGGAACTTTGTTTTCCTTTTCCAAATGCAGTTACTAAGGGATCAGTGGGATTTGAGTGCTAAGTTAAATGTCTAGTAAGAAATTAAACAAAAGAATCCAAGCAATCAAAATGATGCCTGCATTTGCTGCCCACAGAAATGTAGACTGCACTGCATGTGTAAATGGCAAGAAAATTTGGGCGTTAGCTAACCCTTTATGTCCTGCTTTTCTCAAAATTCACCCAATCATGACAGCTTGTAAAACCATTTACATATTTAAGGTGCATTAGACCAAGTTCAGATATGTTTACCAGCATGTCCATTTGAAGAAGAGTTTAAGGTAGAATGTACCTTTTCCAATTTCATAAGTAATTAATTTGGATTGTAATTCCCCTGAGATACTTATTCCTCTTCTAGACATTATTAATGTAGTCTAATGTTTGAATGATTTAAGAATATCTCTACTCTCTTCTGTGGCTTCACTGGAATCCTGAAGTGTTTAGGACTTTTAAATTGAGAAAGATATTGATCCCATGAAATATAATCATACTTAGATTTGGCAAAATTCCATAGTAGCTTTCTTGATGGATCCTAAAAGGCGTTCAAGAATGTCATTTTGGAAAATTGATGTTTTCCTTAAAGAGATGTAAAGTTAAAAGCATGAATATCACAATATTATAAGAGTAACACAAAAGAGACAAAAGAAAAAGTAATATTTCATTGGTCTTTGGTAGATGTTTAAGTTGAATAATGAATTTTGTTTTTAAAAGGAACTCAAAAGTTCACAGTAAATAAGCAAACAATATGAGAAATAAAAAGAATCAAGCGGGGGGGTGGTATAGTTATATAAAACAGTGATTTGCTATTTCAAAATTAAAATGTACAAATAAGCTGGTGTCAGAGAGGAGGTGATTCCTCATTTCCACCGCATTGAGCAAGCTCACATCGGCAGCAGACAGCTCTTAATGTATGCGTCTGGCTCTGGCTGTCCTCCCAACCAAGAAGCCATGGAATTGTTAATATCACTGCTTTTTTTGTATGCAACACACATCATTTTCTCGCTCTTTGTTGTAGATCTCCCTTTTATTTTAAGCTTAGTATGATCTGATTTTCCAAATCATATTATAAAGCCCCCAAACAAACAATATTATCCTGTCACAGCTGAAACAGAAGTGCAGAGAAAGTGGCATCTGTCTGTACACATACAGTATAAAGTAGCTTATATAAACCCAGTTACTCACTTATGTCTACACACACCTTTATGGACTAAGAGGAAAGCTTTATCAATGATACTCTCACAAAAGACAATTTACATAGCAAAGTTACATAGAGAGGTTCAAAGAATGCAATAAAGAAAACATACATAGTTTGCATGTTTACAGGAAAAATGAACAAACGTTGCACTCTAAATTCAGCTTTGCTGTATTTCTTTTATGGAACATAAGTAAATATATAATATGTGTGATTCATAAATATGATAACAAAAAGAAACTGTTTGCATTTAAAATATTCTGTATCTCATATTACTATAACCAATAAACATCTATCCCTTACCTTATTTTATAACCAAACTGAAAGAACATCTTATTCATATTTTGTATGATCATGTTAAAAACAAGTGTCAGTAAACATATACCTGTATGTGATTGTTGTATAACAGGTAGTTGCTGATCCATTGTGTGAACAATGCTAGTAAATGTTTCTGTATGCATGTACATACACATAGAAAGTTATTTGTAACTGAAAAAGTTTTGGCTTTTAAAAATGTTCATTTGCAAGAAGAGATAAAAAGAAGTAAAAGATAAATATTTCTAAGGATCTTTACAGGTTATACTGTTTCCTTTCATTTGGAGTTTTAAAACATGTTTATACAAACACGTGCACACTGAAAATTTCAGAGTTTCTAGATAAATTAAATAGGTGATATAAACAAAAAAATCGAACCATGTATAGAGTAGATACATGGTTAATAATATTCTTGTGCCTTGTAGAGATAAGGACTCTCTTCACAATATTGTATTAATTTTTAAGTAATATAACTTTATAGGTGATTTGTGTTTTGTGATATTTTAAACACAAGTAATTCTATCAAATTCAAGAAAAAAATGAATAAAGACTCCATACAGTATTCTAAAATACAGTCATACATTTATTTTAACAATGCAGAAAATAATTTATGCTACCAATGTAAAGTAGTGGAGTTAAAAGAAGAAAGTCACTTTCTTTCTTCTTAATTGGAAAGTCTCTCATTTTCATTTTAAATCATGATATTTGTAATGTAACACTATTGTAACATTTTTTAATAGATTCAGTATACTGATTTGTCTCAAAAAAATACACATTTAAGGTGTCAATGACCAATAAATGTCCAAATGTGACATATTAGTTATGGTTGGAATACTTGCTGCTAATAAAACTAAAATTCTTAGTAAACTGAAACTATGCAGTTCACATTCAGTTGTCAGAGGAGCCGGGACAGTTTGACTTCATAGGTGGGGTTCACTGCTTTATCTCACACAGGTCCTTGACACACCCACACACAAAGTAAAATGTGAAAACCAAAAGGTGCCATATTTTCCTAAATTTTTGAGGACAACTCTCATTCTTGGGCTCTTTAAACAAGGGAATTTCTGATACATTTAAAGTATTTTGTTTGGGTTAAAGACTGAGGAAAACTCTGGCAATAAATACGAAATATAAACAGCATTTTCCTTAAATCGGTAGTAAAATCTAATAGGGTCAGTAAAAAAGACTGTAAATCATTTTATTTCTAGGCCTCAAGCATCAGAGCTGTAGATTACATATTCCGAGCCATAGTTGTATGAAGACATAACAAGATTGATTTAAGTAGCCAATGTATATAATTCTATGCAAATGAAAAAAAAGTTATAAATATAAACAATTCTCTTCATTAACTAAGGAGATATTCTCTTACACAAACCACTTAAAATACACCAAAAGAAGCATTTAAAACCACTCGTATTTTAATTCTGCCTCTTACATAGATATCTACTCTGTTGCTTTCGTATGGTCTTTATAAAACAAATAGCTATTTCAGTGTAACTGTGTAATCACTTTAGACTACAGTTTCTGACAACAGTATTTTGGGGGGGAGTCATGGTGAAAACATTGCTGATTATAAAGAAATGCATTGTTCTTTTCTCCTAGGCAGGATCTAGGTATGTTCTTTTGTTCTGCTGGTAACTGCAGACAATCAATAAGGTCCAAAGCTGCTGGTTCCCCTCCGCCTAGGTCCCAAGAGCCTGACTTGTGATGTTACTAAAATACCTCACAAGTTAGGGTCTCAGGGACTAGGAAAAGTCTGGTTTGATGCAGTAGAATTCTTCTTCCAGTAATAAGGATGGTTTAGAATTACAGTTGGGTTCGGTTAGACTTTTTCCTCTAAACACTAATTAAAATACATAAGTAGACATATAAACGATAAGTAAAGGATGAGGTGACTAATCACGATGACCATTTACAGCCTAATTCCACACCTTCAAATAATGAAGAATATGAAAAACAATGCAGACAATGAACAGTTAAGAGCCATTCCATTAGATTCAAAGAAAGAGACTAAAAATGGGTTAAAATCTGCTGCTAGCCGATCTGTACAGCAACACCATAGCCACTATTGCATTAAAGAAGGGTTATATGCCAGTTAATGGAACCCTAATTGAAATTTTGCTTTCCATTACACTTCTATACATCACAACTGTTAAGGTGGGCCCAGGACATATAACCCTCTAAATCTGATTTACACATATACCGTTGCAGTTAAGAATCAAACAAAAACTTTTTTGCATGTCATAATTTAATACCTCTGAAGCTCAATTTTTTTCATTAAATCTCCAAACTACCCAGACAACAAATATTTCCATGCATACTCTGTAGTTATTTGAGCAATGCCACTTAATAAACATGTAACTTAAAATCCTGGCAACATCATAAGAAAGAAAAATGATTCTATTTCTTGAATAACTACATTATAATGCTCGATACTCTTGAAAACACACAATCTCAATCCAGTATATTCACTGAATTTCCTCCGATCTTTTAGCCTTGTTTGTGGTTCGAGAACAGAATTTGTACTTTAGGAATGATCCAAGGCTTAGTAGCACAGAACGCAGGGTAAAACAATCGGACCAGCCATAACATAAAAGTCCTGGCCACAGAAGTAGAATCTGGTTCTTCTGAAGTGGTTGATCTTAAAAGGGAAGAGGAGGAAACAAAACAAAACAAAACAAAACAAAACAAAACGGAAAGAATTAGAATGTTTTCCTGTAGAACAGGTGAATCATCCATTTCCAAGTTAGCTGCAAGGAAAGCTATGCTGAACAAAATATTTGCTAACTGGCCCCCCCTCCTCCACCCTAGTACCACACCCCTTTCCAACCACCACCCCCCACCCCTGTCCAGATCTTTACTTTGCCTTGTAAGACTTTAAATATTCTGCTCCATGATGTAATGCATCATTATATAAGATCTCTTTCTGTTTATCATTTGATTTTCCATACTGAATTAGTTATGACTTAAAATAAATAGTTTAAAAAATCAAAAACATGAAAACAAAAAAAGCAGCATTCACAAAAAGCCAAAAAATAAAACAGTCCTTAGATATAAGTCCATGCTTTTCCTTAACACTGAATATGGCTTTACAATTTTTGACCATAGCATTACACCAATTATTAGAATGAAAAATCTCACCCCTCCATAAATATGACATTAACATAATTATACCACCCCCATCACGGAGACCCATCCTCCTTAGGGAATACATCTGATGCTCCAAAGATGGAAATCAGTCAGATTTTAGTTGCTCTCCAACGTACCTTTGCTTCTCACTGACTGACTGGCTTTTACCCTCCACGCACTCACACGCCACCCCCTCCCCTCGGCTAGACACGGATGCCCGAGCGAGCACGCGCGCGCACACAGGCATACAGACACACGGCGAGAGGCGAGGCAAAGCATCTGATGCTGACTCAGAGCGCTTCTGTGTGCAGGGGGTGGCAGCGGCTGGTATTTTCACTGCGCTCATCATTAACATTAACTCACAGTCTAGCATCCACCCTCTCCCAGACCTGCTGGACTGCAGCATTTGCATGACGCTGTCACTCTAGCCTTTGCAGGTCAGATGATGGGAGGGGAAAAGAAAGAAAGGAAAGGAGAGAAAAGAAAAGAAAAGAAAAGAAAAAAGCCTCAAGGTTCTCATAAAATGCCTTCATTTCTTCCAGGGTTTCCTTATTTTTCCACCTTTCTACTTCCTCTGTGGCTGTTTCTCAGTTGTTTGACATCTTTCCGGAAGAAAATGTCTTGTACTTCAATGAGCCAGTCGTCAGCTGGCCCTCCCCTCCCCTCGTGCTGGCATCCCCACCCCTTTCCCCTGCTAATCAATAAGACAGATCTCCGAAGGCAGTTGTGGAAACAGGCTCTGACACAGTCTTATCCTGGATCCCCTACCTCAGAAGCAGGCAGACAGACTCACACGTGATAAAAATAATGTAGCAATTCTTTAACAGCCCTAGACTTTACGCCTTCATTTTTTTTACCCCTTGGCTAAAGAAAGAGCAAAAGAGTCTTTTCATTTCTATATGAAGCCCCCCAAAATAGCCCAAGAGATACATGAGTGAGGCCAATCTGTTCAGAGCTATCATTTCTAGTAATAATAATAATAACAATAATAATAATAAACAGCTATGATTTTAATAAAAGTAATTGCTTCATATTTTTATTAGCTGTGCTCTCATTTCACAGGAATTATAAAACTAGCCAGATTCTGAATCATCAATATGATTTAAACTGTGTTGAAATCCTAAATTGCTGGAATGAAACCAACTAACAGAATATTCGTTTTTTTCAATTTTTTAAAAATGACTTAAAAATTACAGCACATAACTGTGTTCGTGAATATGGAAAAGTCTTGGAGATTGAGACATTGTTTGCAGGCTATAAATATTAATGATTGGATATGTATGTCTAAATAAAATATGGATTCTTGTACATATGTAGGAACAATCTCCTATATGCATTATTACAGAGGAAAGTAAAATATTTGACTAAACACAGTCATGTTTATGCTGGTGTCTCACAACACACAAGGCAGTAAACAGGTTTTTACCCAGTTCCTTTGTTCTTCAATTGCTCCCTGTAATGACAGAGTGTGGTAAACTGCCTACCTTTCCTTTCTACATGAGCAGTATTTCTGAATTATTTGCCAGACAGAACTAGCCATTGGTGACTGCAGCAAACACGAAATACATACAAAGAGAAGCAAAGCATGCAGTCCTCAAGCCAACACTAATGCTGCCCGTGCTGTAGATATTTCAGTTTACTCTCACAGACAGATCCCAGCATGCAGTGCGGCACTGCAGGACCAACTAAGGTAGCAGTTTGGCAACAGATCTGTGGCAACAAAGTGGAGAGCAACCATTCGCAGAGGCTCCAAAGAAAACATCCCACAGCCCACAAAGAGATAGAAGCATCTGTAGTAGAATGTGTATCTCTGGAATCAGCTCCTACAGGCTCCTGATTTGAAAGAAAAAGGAAAAGGAAACAGGCATGGGAGGGGGACCTCAAACACAAAAACAAAAAGAGAGAAAAAAACAAAGTGGGCACCACCTGGAAGTGTGGAGCTAAGTTCATACTCTCATGAGAAAGAGAAAGGCAGGAAGGAAAAGAATTAAGAGTGAGGGAAAAAAGAAAACACAGAAATGGGAAGAGGGAGGGAAAGCATGAGGAAGGGGAAGAAAGGAACAGCTAGGGAAGAATCACTAAGCATGAATCAACAAATATGATACGAAATTGAACTCCAGAAACCGAAGACTGAGGACAAATGTTCAAGCCTGGAATCCAATAGAAACTAAAACAAAAATTAACCCATGCACAGCATAGCGTAAAATACTTATTGTCAGTAATAGTGAGATGCCTGCTGAATTCTTCCTGTCCTACGTGTGTGTTAAATTGATTATCTCTTAATCTCTCATCGCTCAGACCCATCTTTTATTTTATTTTTACTTTTTTTCCCCCTTAACTCTCCCGCATCTGTAACCTTTACTTATATTATTTTTTTTTTCTAGACAGTTGCCCACAATACTCTGGATAAATTAATGTCATGACCTCGCTATGGCTATCAGACATAAAATGTCGACTATTTTAATAATTGAACATGCGCTTACAGCCACTGCCTACTGATATGCCGGCTCTCTGGACTGCCTCCATGAGCACCTCACTCCCAGCTCTTCGAATCAGGAACAACAGATGCAAATACAACTCCCCCCACCCATCACTGCCATTATTTTATTTTTTTTTTATTACACACAAAGACAATCACTCATGACTTTACAGAAGGATAAAAATGTTAACTGAGGAGTTTAAAAACAAAACAAAAGAAATACAGGTTTGAAGAGAAATAATAATTATGATTGAATAGCCCTACATGTAAAATATTTATATCCAAACGGGTTAGCCAGTTCCAAGTGCCCAGGCTTCTCTCAGGACATCCTTTAGGGCCAATAAGAAGGCAGACTTGAATAAATCAATATTTATTTCAAAGGAGATGTTATAAATCAGTGCAGTTACCACTGTCATAAATACAAATTTGTCTTTTAAGTCTCAACTTCTAATCATTAATGCTAACATATTCCTAAATCAGACTTTATTCTTTGACTATGGTGAAAATATTTACAAAGCAAAATTTTGACTCTGTTTTACATTTAATTTAAATAATGCAATATATGCATAGTCTTGCTAGATCAACTATTTGTACACAATATTGTAGATTTGTTAACTTTAAAAGAATAGTCAATATAGGGCTGAATGCACAGGAAATGACATATTCAGTAAAGGAACAACCACTCTGAAGTACTTTCATGCCACCTGTCTTCTTACTTCCAAGACAGGAATCCTTTATTTCTTACAAACATTTGAAATCAGTGTGATTATATCAATCATATTTAAAGTCATGGGTAAAATGTGGGATGATGAGGATGGAGGACAAAATATGATCCACAGTTCAACATTTATGGATGTACAGAATATATTATTATCTGTACAATATTTTCTTTGCTTTACCTAACCTGTATTCTCCAATAAGCTGCAAACAGCTAAATACATTAAAGATTAAAGTGAAAAAAAAACTAAAATGAATTTCCTCTGTTTCCCTAGCCATATTTCAAGTGTATAGCAGTATATATGGTAGGTGACTACTACATTGGACAATATAGATATAAAACACAGCCAACTTTGCAGAAAGTTTTATAGGACAATGCTGACTTAAACTGTTATTGTAAAAAGCTGTATAGCATAACTGGTCATTGGATCCCAAGATTTCTCTTCCAATCTATGTTAAAAGAATAATACTGTGTTGACTTATTTGGAGATCTAAAATACAGAATTGGCTGAAGAGCAACTTGTGCTTTTATTACAAACTGGTTTGAAATATACAAGATTGCTTAAGGGGGGGGGCTACATAAAAACTTTCAGATAGTTGATTTTTAAAAATCAAAAAACACTAAAGCTACTCATGTGAAAGTCTCTAAGTACATCTGAGATGCTTATTTCTCTAGCCTTTCCAGAAATGACAGCCACACTCTTTTCAGTGCCAAACAATTTATATTACACATATCTGCTTCCCATAAAGAAAGTATGTAATAGCAATGTGAACAGCAAAAATTTAGAGCAAAAAGTCCTTCTGAACAGGTCCTATTAATGTAAGAAAGGAAGAACAATTAGGAACATAAATAAACATGGTTAAACCTTTTTTCTTTCTTACTTAATTTTAAGAGAAAAGAAAGAATAAAGGGCAGGGAGACAAGGGTCAGACCTCAATAAACTGAGATAGTCTTATTAAGAAATTTCCTGTGAAATAAAACACTGGGAAAGTAAAAAAAAAAAACAAAAACCAAAAAACACAAAACAGAAGTATATGTATGTGCACATGTGTGTGCACAAGCATGGGTATACAAAAATGTGTACACACCTATATACCTTGGTATGATAATTTGAACTACAAATCAGAATCTAGAACCAATTATTTTAAGCAAAGTTAAACTAAAGGAAAACATCAATGTACATGAGCTATTGCTTTAAAAATTTTATGGTAAATGAAACAGCTAGATTTTTAAGTAGGAAAAAAATCTGACCTACATATTATTTTAGAATTTTATTATTTGGACTAGAAGATGATTCAGTGTTTAACGCCACACT